TCTGTCTGTCTGTCTGTCTGTCTGTTACAAGGATATTGAAACAGGGTTAAATTAGCTTCCGCATGACACTAAAATATGGCATTTCAATATTTTTGTATTGATGTTGGTTGGTTGTATGTAAGCTTCACAATTTTATAAAGGTGTATTGGCAAAACTGTACAGTGACAAGTGAAACAGCATACACCAATAGTTCTACAAATCTATAATAACTGTTTTCTTTTCAATTCATTATAGAGAAATGTTAATGATTCATGTGAAATGAATTCAGAGTGCATTGATAAAGAAGCATAATGTCAACCTGGCCACACTATACAGACACATACACACACACACGATCTCAGGTAAAATAGTAATATATACCAGTCAAAAGTTTGGACACACCTACTCATTCAAGGGTTTTTCTATATTTTTACTATTTTCTACATTGTAGAATAATAGTGAAGACATCAAAACTATGAAATAATACATATGGAATCATGTAGTAACCAAAAAAGTGTTAAACAAAACAAAATATATTAGAGATTTGAGATTCTTCAAAGTAGCCACCCTTTGCCTTGATGACAGCTTTGCACACTCTTGGCATTCTCTCAACCAGCTTTATGAGGTAGTCACCTGGAACAGGTGTGCCTTGTTAAAAGTTCATTTGTGGAATTTCTTTCCTTCTTAATGCATTTGAGCCAATCAGTTGTGTTATGACAAGGTAGGGGTGGTATACAGAAGATAGCCCTATTTGGTAAAAGACCAAGTCCATATTATGGCAAGAACAGCTCAAATAAGCAAAGAGAAACGACAGTCCATCATTACTTTAAGACATGAAGGTCAGTCAATCTGGAAAATGTCAAGAACTCTTCTAGTGCAGTCGCAAAAACCATCAAGCGCTATGATGAAACTGGCTTTCATGAGGACCGCCACAGGAAAGGAAGACCCAGAGTTACCTCTGCTGCAGAGGATAAGTTCATTAGAGTTATCAGCGTCAGAAATTGCAGTCCAAATAAATGCTTCACAGAGTTCAAGTAACAGACGCATCTCAACATCAACTGTTCAGAGGAGACTGCGTGAATCAGGCCTTCATGGTCAAATTGCTGCAAAGAAACCACTACTAAAGGACACCAATAAGAAGAAGAGACTTGCTTGGGCCAAGAAACATGAGCAATGGACATTAGACCGGTGGAAATGTGTCCTTTGGTCTGATGAGTCCAAATTTTTGATTTTTGGTTCCAACCGCTGTGTCTTTGTGAGACGCAGAGTAGGTGAATGGATGATCTCCGCATGTGTAATTCCCACCGTGAAACATGGAGGAGGTGTGATGGTGCTTTGCTGGTGACACTGTCAGTGATTTATTTAGAATTCAAGGCACACTTAACCAGCATGGCTACCACAGTATTCTGCAGCGATACGTCATCCCATCTGGTTTGCGCTTAGTGGGACTATCATCTGTTTTTCAACAGGACAATGACCCAACACACCTCCAGTCTGTGTAAGGGCTATTTGACCAAGAAGGAGTGATGGAGTGCTGCATCAGATGACCAGGCCTCCACAATCACCTGACCTCAACCCAATTGAGATGGTTTGGGATGAGTTGGACCGCAGAGTGAAGGAAAAGCAGCCAACAAGTGCTCAGCATATGTGGGAACTCCTTCAAGACTGTTGGAAAAGCATTCCAGTTGAAGCTGGTTGGGAGAATGCCAAGTGTGCAAAGCTGTCATCAAGGCAAAGGGTGGCTACTTTGAAGAATCTAAAATATATTTGGATTTGTTTAACACTTTTTTGGTTACTACATGATTCCATATGTGTTATTTCATAGTTTTGATGTATTCACTATTATTCTACAATGTAAAAAATAAAGAAAAATAAAGAAAAACCCTTGAATGAGTAGGTGTGTACAAACTTTTGACTGGTACTGTATATATGTATCCATTAGGTCTATCTGAATCACATCCCCATTATGATAGACCTATCGATGGATGAATATGCCTATGCCTACCTGTGGTTGGCGCGCGTACAGATGTGTTGACGTCAGTGAGAAAATGTATCGTCCTATTTAAACCATTTTAAACCATGGCAACTGAATGATCAAATCACAGGTTTGATATTACACCAAATCGAATGATCCATCAGAAAATAAATCCAACGGTCACCTCGTGATCACATTCGGTTCTGGCTGGCAACCTGTTTGTCTCACTGTCATATCAACGTTGGCGATTTATACATTTCCAATAAACTAACGCACACACATCCGGCCTATTAATGTTGTGATGATCATCATATTTCAAACATTTGCACAGATGGGAGCTTCATTCGATCAAATCTCCTCCAAATTCTCATTCATCATCATCAACCGTGGATATCGCCAACCGACAGAGAGGGAGACTTACCTCATCTCTGTCTCCCTGTCCGAACTGGAGCCCCAGATCCACGAAATGTTCGACCCGAATGTAACCATCAGCATCCTCATCACACACGTCGAATACCTCCTTGAGCTTTTTCAGAAACCCTAGAAGCTGTTCTTGATCGGGGAAGACGTTTCCTTCCATCTTAGAGTTCGGTTTGTCAGATAATGTCGTTATTGAACGGACTTCGTTTGAATTCGTTCTGTAGTCGCCATCATTCCGGTTGCTGCTCTCCGCTGGTGCTGTTGCGGACTGGCTCGGTTGGCGCTGTGACATCAGCAGCATCCCGTTACCGAATGGGAAGGACCACTGATCGACGAGCAGTGGGTAGAGACGATAATTGGCTACGATTCACTATCATGAAAAAAATATCGATTTACGTAAACACTTGCCCATGAGCGTGTTTTTAAAGTGTCAGGACAGGTGTTTTTATTTTATGGTATTGAGATAGTTACAATTTGATGTTATTGTGATACCACCTAGCTCCTTGATTGTTTTCCAACAACATGACTATCGAATAGAAACTTGTAAATAAATGTCCCATTGGAAATGAATAATGACAGTAAATCAATGTGAAAGATGCAATTTTATGTTATTGGGATACCATCTACCTCCTACCTTGATTGTTTTCCAACCATACGACTATTGAATAGAAACTTGGAAGTTAATCATTACTGTAAATCAATGTGAAATAAATGGTGATATTTAAAACTAAAAACGGCTCTAAATATGACACACATATCGGAAAATGTATGTATTTTCCTTGTACAAGCCCCAGTTCAATGGTTACCCTGAATAGCTACTTACATTACATTAATTGGCCTGACCTCTACTGTGTGGATGCTATTCTTAATAACTACTGGATCTATAGCATAGTTTATTAAGAAACCACACATATCCGGTCATAGGATATCACAAACATTATCATCTTACAAACAAGTCTTTAAAAATAAATCAAGGGACATTCACAGTTATAACGATGTGTAAAAAAACAAACACATAAAACCATAGACTAAGATCAAGAGATAGTAAATGACAAGAGACCAAAGAACATCTTTGACAGTACTTCCTCAACCTGCCCTGTACCCTCCTTTCCGCAATACAACAGTAGACGGTTTGAGTGGGGCATTAAAAAAGTGCTCATCACACCCAGAACTAAGACATATGAATCAACTCATCAATAGCTTTAATCCAGACTTTGATTAGCTGAATACATGGTTCTGGTCAATTCCATTTGAACTCATCTATTGAGGAAATGAACAAACTCAAACTATTGAATTTAAAAAATCTGAATTAGTTAATATCCTGAATTGACAGACTTGAAGTGGAATTGACCTGATTTTTTAGTGCTGGGCTGGAACAAAAGCCTGCCCTAATGCTGAAACACTCAGTGTGGGGAGGAGCAGGGTAAAATAAGGGTAAGGGGTTTGGTAAGTTAAAAATACTACCGCTGTATAAAGCTCTTCATCAGAGAGACTGTAGAGTCAACCACACATTGACATTAGGGCTGGTTTCCCGGACCCAGATGAAGCCTACTCCTGGACTTTAAAATAAGCATACTCAATGGAACACTTCCATTGAAAAATGTGATTAGGCTTAATCTGGGTCCAGGGTAAACCGTCTATGGGGGTGTCAGAACAAGCCCCAGTACATCCTCCCAAACAGAAACAGACCTTCCATGCGGCAGATCAGGCAAATGCCAGATTTGGGCTGGTCCAGCTTTAGCTCAGTGGGCCAGTCTAAATTGGGGTTGTTTGCCGAATTATTATAATTTGGCCAATACTAGGGACCTCAAGGGGGGGGAAAAATGGGCCGGTGTGTTAGAAATGCCTGGGCCAAGTCGACCAAGAACGTCCATCTTGTTCCTCAGCCCAAATTCCCCACAACCAGCCTGGGTTCCAGCAGCGAGTCCCAACGTTCAGTCACCTGCGCACACACACACACACACACACACACAGAGGGACAGAGAGAGAGCACAGAAACATGATTATATTAATTCTATGGGAGTGACATCAAAGTCGTCCCCATGGTTACTGGAAAACTACAACATTCGGAATTCTGCACATAGAGCTGTTTTATTGGAAAAAATGTAACCCCCTTATGCCGGGTTAAAGTAGCCCACCGGTTTTCTCTTTCAACTAAGCGATTGTAAGGGACATTCATTGGACAATGAACAGCTTCCCTCAACGTGTGGGTGATGGGGTTAAAATGCAGTCAGGGACAATAGAGGGGGGTTAGCTCATCCAAACAGTGTCACACAGACGGTACAGAGTGAGAAGAGGCCTGCTTAGTGAAGAGAGGGTGGTCAGTGGAACCAGAACAACATTCAGTGGTTACGCAATAACCCAGAGGGTTACGCCATAACCCTGGCTCTGACATACAATATGATAATACAGTATGGTAGAAATTAAGTCTAAATAATTATTAACGCGCACAGTTCAATTTTCCTGCAGGATTGCTGCATTTATTGCATGTAGACAGGTTCTATGAAATAATGTTGTATTGAACAGTATTTTATATCTTACCTCAACAGCGTACTCTGCTCTCTGAGCCCATTGGTTTTATTCATGTTTATAAAACGTACAGTAACAGTATTTTATGTCTTACCCTGGAGCCACGGGACACAGCGTATTCCACACTCTCTGATCCGTCAGCGTTCTGATACACCAGGTCAAACCTCCCCGGCTCCACCGGAGCTGTGGGACAGACAGACATGTTAGGGTGGTCCATCTTAGTAAGGTCCATCACTGACCGGTAGTGCCAGGTGTCTTCAGATGGCTGGGGGGAAACATGGGCTGAATCACCATTCTCCACCTTTCTCCCAAAGTGAGCACTGGTAGACTTGCCATGGATTCAACAATGGAACCATTTAGCAGACGCTCTTATCCAGAGCGACTTACAGTTAGTGAATACATATATCTTTTTTTATACTGGCCCCCCGTGGGAATCGAACCCACAACCCTGGCGTTGCAAACGCCATGCTCTATCAACTGAGCTACATCCCTGCCGGCCATTCCCTCCCCTACCCTGGACGACGCTGGGCCAATTGTGCGCCGCCCATGAGTCTCCCGGTCGCGGCCGGCTGCGACAGAGCCTGGATTCGAAACAGGATCTCTAGTGGCACAGTCAGCACTGCGATGCAGTGCCTTAGACCACTGCGCCACTCAGGAGACCACCTTGATAAGCAGAGAGCAGCCATCAGTTTGGCCTTACCTTGATAAGCAGACAACAGCCATCTGTTTGGCCTTACCTTGATAAGCAGAGAACAGCCATCTGTTTGGCCTTACCTTGATAAGCAGACAACAGCCATCTGTTTGGCCTTACCTTGATAAGCAGAGAACAGCCATCTGTTTGGCCTTACCTTGATAAGCAGAGAACAGCCATCTGTTTGGCCTTACCTTGATAAGCAGAGAACAGCCATCTGTTTGGCCTTACCTTGATAAGCAGAGAGCAGCTCTAGCTCAATCTGTTTTGTGCTGTGGTCAAAATGAATGATCTTCCCCTCCTGAAAGACAAATAGTGAGAAAAGACATTACCCAAATGAAACAGATTATATATATTTTTACTGTAGCATATAAACATTTCTTACCACATGTATTTAGTCCTAGTTCAGGACATAACTTGAGAAAAAAGCGCTGTCCACATACTGGTAGAAAAGAACCAGTTACACCAGACACTGAAGAGAGAAAAGGAGTAGTCTTTCTGCTATTTTTACTCACTTTATACTCAGACACCTCTGGTGTGTAGTTCTCTGTCAGCTCCAGCAGCTGTGAACACACACACACACTGGAGTGATAATGAGTTACATGGAGGCGTGCAGCACCTTAGCAACGCAGCTGTACAGTAATCTCTCACTGTTCTTCTATTTTAATTAAAGAGGCTTTATTAGCATGGAAAATGGAGGGACTTACATTACCAGCGTCTTTAACTGTTTCCCACCTCGTCCATTGAGTCTACTGAATTAGTACCGCTAGGAGTTTTTCTTGACCACATGACCCAAGCAGGAAAAACTCCAGCGTCTGAATGGAGTGACTCTATACCCTAACTATGCTATTTTTTCTACTAGTACATACGGTTGCTTCCATTTCAACCACTGGGAAACAGCGGCAAGTGTTACTGAGTGGACCACCCTGGCTAAATAAAGACATGAAATGAGTGAATGCATTGCTTCCATTTGAACCGACTTTATCAGACTGAGCTGTGTGGTGAGTATGGAACTGTTCCATATCCACCAGCAGCACGGTCGGTCTGAGTGGTGAGTTACCTTGAAGGTCGGTCTGAGTGGTGAGTTACCTTGAAGGTCGGTCTGAGTGGTGAGTTACCTTGAAGGTCGGTCTGAGTGGTGAGTTACCTTGAAGGTCGGTCTGAGTGGTGAGTTACCTTGAAGGTCGGTCTGAGTGGTGAGTTACCTTGAAGGTCTATAAGTGGTGAGTTACCTTGAAGGTCGGTCTGAGTGGTGAGTTACCTTGAATGTCTATAAGTGGTATGTTACCTTGAAGGCTGGTCTATAAGTGGTATGTTACCTTGAAGGCTGGTCTATAAGTGGTATGTTACCTTGAAGGCTGGTCTATAAGTGGTATGTTACCTTGAAGGCGATCTTCTGTCCCACCTGAGGGGGAGCAGCTAGGAGGGGCATCTCACTGTAGTCCCTCCTGGTGACACTCTCTGATGGGTTCTACAACACACACACACACACCTATAAATATTATACCTCCCACATCTTCATTCCAGCAGCAACAGAAGTAGGTTACAGAATGCCACAGGGTTGGGGTCAAGTCCATTTCAATTTAGTCAATTCAAGAAGTAAACAGAAATTCCAATTCCAGTTATGTGCTTTTCAATTAGGAAAAAAATGCTATCTAAATTACTTGAATTGACCAACCCTGGAATACCGTCTAGTAATCAGTTGACTTACCTGGAACACCACAGAGTTGTTAATCAGGGAGTCGTTCTGGTATGAAGGTAGCACCACAGTGTTGTTAATCAGGGAGTCGTTCTGGTACGATGGTAGCTGCTGATGATGATTCTGCTGTCGCTGTCCACCTTCATAGTTGAAATAAAACCCTGCATGATCTCCTCCTGCCCCTCTATCTTCCCCTCTCCCTCCTCTACCCCCACCAGGAGGACCCCTGTCCCACTCCCCACCTCTACCCCCCCTGCCTCCACCTCCAGCACCACCCCAACCCTGGCCTCGATCCCCTCTACCCCAACCCCTATCCCCTCTACCCCCACCCCTCTCCGCACCCCTAGGGCTTCCCCTGCCTCGGCCTCTCCAGGTGGGGTCTGCTGCCATAGCAGGGACCGTCCCCATCCCCAGGCCTGGCCGTTTGATAACCAGCTGAATCTCCTCCTCACTACTACTACTACCACCACTAGAGTCTGAGCTCTCAGGCCTCCTGTGGGCCTTCTGTACTGCTGGGGCTGAGCCTGGCCCTGGAGCTTTAGCTCTCTGGCCAGGGGATACAGAGTTGGTGGGACCTGAGGAAGGGAGGCTGGGTCTGGGCTCGGGGGGGGTGGTTTTGTCCCTAGGACCAGCGTCGGAGCCTGTGGTAGTAGGAGGAGTGGCAGCAGGCTTGGATAGAGGAGTTTGGTTTTTAACCAGAGGTTTGCCTGTGGTGGCTTTGCTAGAGGCATCGTCATCCGATGAGTCTGAGTCCGAATCGGATGACGAGGGAGGTGGGCGTGGTTTCCTATTGGGGGTTGGGGGTTTGACTATAGGGGTGACTTTTGGGGTGGCTTTAGATGCGACAGGGTGTGTAGCGGTAGCAGAGGGTGATTTGGGGGGTCGTTTCTGTGTGGGGTTTTTACTTGGGGCTTCCTCCTCACTACTGCTGCCACTGGAATCAGAACAGGAGTCTGTTTCCCCATTCTGGGTCTTTGCTGTGGCTTTACCGTTAACAGATACTGCTGTGGCAGCTGGAGCCTTCTTGGTGTTTTTGTCCGCTTTGGCTACGGTGGGAGAGGGTCCTGTGGACAAGGTGGGAGAGGGTCCTGTGGATGAGGCAGTGGTTTTGGTCACCACCTGCTTCTTCTCCTCCTTTTTCTTCTTCTGTTTCTTCTTGTCTTCTTTGCTCCTCTCTTCAACCGCAGCCTGGTTGGAATCGGCCTCCTGACTCTCCTCGTTCTGTCGCTTCTTCTTCTTCTTCTTTTTCCACTCTTCACTCACTCGGTTCTGTGTAGGCTCCTCCTCCTCGGCATCTCTCCTCCTCTTCTTGGAGTTGACAGCAGATGTGTTGGAAGGACTTCCATTCAAACGGGTTAGGATGTCCCCTTCACCGTCAAACAAACCCC